GTTTATTTATTTTGAGAGAGAGAGAGAGAGCATGAGCAAGGGAGGGGCAGAGAGAAAGGGAGAGAGAGAATCCCAGGCAGGCTCCACACTGTCAGCGCAGAGCCTGACACGGGGCTTAATTTCACAAACCGTGAGATCATGACCTGAGCCCAAACCAAGAGTCAGACGCTTAACCGAATGGGCCACCCAGGTGCCCCAGATGATCTACTTCTTAAAAAGACGTTATTTAAAAGTTTTTGTAAGTAACAATGAAATATTGATCAGCTCTTTCCTTACCTTATATTAGCAGAAAAATAAGGGGGAGTCGGAGCAAATTATACTTCATTCAACTCAACTGCTTACCCAGCCTGTGTGAGCCATAGTAACCTGCAAAATCAGCTCACTGTCAAGAAATTGCCATTTAAAAATTCCTTATTAAATGACCACAATACTGTCAGCAATGGTTCAGTCATTGCTTTTTAGGTCTAAGTTAGGGCATTGTTCTGAAGAAAAAATACTCAAATATTGGACCACAATGAGCAAATTCTAATAATAAACAGCTGGGTGAAGAGTAATATTTGGGCTAAAATTGCTATTTAACGCTGCAATTCTCCATTATCCATTTTACTTATAATTGTCATTATATGGTAAAAGTAGAAACGTGGGGTTATATTTACTTATATTAATTTTAAATGATCTTTTTTTACTCTCCTTACTTTTACCTACCTTATACCCTTGCCAAACTTCCTTGAATAATGCTGTAATGAGTTCTTCGTCATCTACATGTTGATGCTCCATGGCCCTTTTAAAATTTGGATTTAAAAATGTACCCAAACATAAAGCTATGAATTAAAATCTTAGATCTGTGCATGGCTCTAATAGAAATCATTGAATTTTACAGAAAGCCCTTGAAAAAGGGCATACAAATTGGGACCATTTAGGTTTGACGTTAACTACAAGCGTGATGAATAAGTGAATATAATTTTAGATGTTTTCTCCATCATTTTACTTGGAGGGAAAAATACTGTAATGAATAAAAGAAAAAATATGATGTCAGGTTAATTTTTTTTTTTTACATAGAGTCTTTGACATACTAGGGGAAACATCATAGCTAAAGGAATTAGTAGCTCTTTTGTTTGAGAGTTCGAGCCGCTGCATCAGCCTCAGTGAGCCCTAAAATTCAGAGCCTAGCTTTTCACTGAACTATGTCTGCCCCTCTTTACAATAGTATCAGTAAAAACGTCACATGACATTGATGCATTAATGAGATAGAATACCCATGAAACACCCCCCTGGATGGCAGATATTACAAAATTCGATGTTATTAGGAAAAGTGATTCTGTATATGTAAACCAACTTGACAATAAACTATTTAAGGGAAAAAAAAAGAAAAAAAGATAGATACCAGGGGGAGGAGTAACTGAAACCAGTCAGGATGGAACTTTCTGGAATGGAAGGAATATGTATCTTGCTCTGAATGGTGGCTACACAGTAAACATATAAAGATCCACAGCCTTTGGGGGGAAAAAAGTGGTTCTGTGTTCATGAAAAGGCCTTGTGTGTTTTCAGCAAAGTGGCGCTCCAGCGGTCAAGTGGAATGGATGTGACTGGAGTAATTGTGTGGTATTTAGCACTTTGTCTTCTTCTGGCTTGGCTCATCGTTGGAGCAGCGCTATTTAAAGGAATCAAGTCTTCTGGCAAGGTAATTTGGAAAACACATTAGATAGTGATATAGCTCTTTTCCAATGTCATCGCAGTTCAGTGTCAAGCATAATCAGATGCATGTTTTTTTCTATAATGGGAACATTCGAATGTGTGAGAAGCTTTCTAAGTAGGCAGCCTGGCTGTGAGAAAATACATAAGATCCCCGCTATTGGTATAAATAAAACAAGCAAGAACTGGGACCAGAGTTGTACAATTACAGATGATCCTTGAACAAGGTCAGGGTGGGGGACGCCAAAACCCCCACCTCATGCAGTTGAAAATCCTGCTCTAACTTTTGATCCCTCCCAACTGAACTACTAACAGCCTATTGTTCACCAGAAGCCTTACTGATAACACAGTCAATTAACACCTATTTTTGTACGTTGTGTGTATTTTTTTAAATGTTTATTTCGTTTTTGAGAGAGAGAGAGAGAGACAGAGCATGAGCAGGGGAGAGGCAGAGAGAGAGGCGGACAGAAGATCCAAAGTGGGCTCTGCGCTGATAGCAGAGAGATCCATGTGGGGCTCGAACTCACCAACAGCACGATCATGACGTGAACTGAAGTTAGATGCTTAACCGACTGAGCCACCCAGGCGCCCCTGTTATATGTGGTATATACTGTATTCTTACAATAAAGTAAGCTAGAGAAAAGAACATGTTGTTAAGAAAATTGTAAGAGAAAATATATTCACGGTACTGTATTTATTGAAAACAATCCTCATAGAAGTAGATCCGTGTAGCTCAAACCTGTGTTGTTCAAGGGTCAACTGGACCCAGAAGCTGGACCCTGCTAGCCAATACAGCATTCTGAGGCTTGAGTGTATACTTTAAAAATTGTCTTTACTATTATATAAATAAGCATCTTGAATGGAATTATATATTGCAATGTTTGGTTTGGAAGTCTAGATCCTTGTTATATAACATTAGTGTCAGGAATCCTTTAGCTGGAGAGAGAGAAAAAAATCAAATATACAGCTGTTCTAAAGCATCCCCAAAATGACTCAGAACCCTCTTTTTCAGCGAAGAGTCCTCTTCTGAAAAGCATTATTATTTTCCCTTTTTACGGTTTTGTGTTTTAGACTTTCAGAGAGCATCATGGCAATTTCAGGGAACAGCATGAAATTTTCTCCACGAACCATTGTGCAGTACCCAGAAAAGTGAATCTTTATGTGTTTGTAACTGCTAGGCTGAAATCTCCTTAAAGATGGAAGACAAGGGTAGCTGTCGACTCTTTCTATGAATCACTGGTACAATGTCTAGCACATTCAGTTAACATAACATTATAATGAGATGCTGCTAGATCACACAAATACTGTGCCCATCAGAAAGTCCATGGAAACTTTCCAAAGTAATGTTTCAGTTGCACATCTTTGAAACCTGTGGCTCCTTTTTGACGTTAATATTGAAATAATCCATTAAAGGCCATTTGCTCGGGCAGTTAATTTTTATTGGTCTCTGGCTGACTTTAAATCGTCTCCTTGGGCCTATTGTCAAAAATAGGACATCTATGGATCAAAGAAATCAGCCACATTGGTGAAAAGCTAGCCGCAAAGGCAATCTGTTCATCATGTATATGGGCTATCCAACTCTCTTAATGGCAGCTTTAAGGATAATAATATCAAGTGTTCAGTATTCGCTTTGATCAGATTTCATGGGATTTGGACATCTCCTAGGAGATTACGTCCCTTCTCCTTTGGGGGTGGGGGTGAATCTATACTAACCCATCGCAGGGTTTAACACCATTTCCCTTCCCACCTCAATGTAGTAATCTCCCAAGAAATGATGCTTAGTCTCCTCGGACATTTAAAAAGACCTATTTAGGAAAGCAGTCTACCTAGATTGCAAGTTGCTACTGCTGTTGTATGGTGTATTCACAACGTGAACCCAGGAAATATTGCTTCATACATGGGAGTGTCTTGACAACGGATCATTTGAGAGTGGGGAGAATGGAAAGACAAAATGATGGCAACTTTGGTATTGGTATCGCCAGATTCATCAGTAACTTATGAAGTCTTTAGTACTTTATTTTACTGGTTTCAACTGGCTAATAGCTTTGCATACAATTACATACCACGGCTTAAAAATTTAACTTCTTAACCTCCGGTTGTTTTTCTTGGTAGGTGGTATATTTTACAGCTATTTTCCCCTATGTTGTCCTACTCATCCTGTTAATCCGAGGTGCTACTCTGGAGGGCGCATCAAAAGGCATCTCATACTATATTGGGGCACAGTCAAACTTTACAAAACTTCGGGAAGCTGAGGTAAGACTTCACTTGGATTTCAGATGATCTGAGGGGGTAAGCCTTACAAGCAAACACTGAATAGGAGTGTTGCCAAAGAATATGCAGTTAAAATTATTAGTGTTTCTGTCCACGGATGTAGCCATTTTACATGACACCAGTGCTTTCTTATTGGAAGTGAGATAATCACTTTCAGCAGGAAGATTTTAAAGGCCGTTTTATTCATATAACTGATTCTATTTGACCAGAAAGGTTTGGGGTCTATTAATCTGAAAAAGAACACTTCATGCGAGATGCCTATCTACAAGTTGCTGAGTAGGATCGCCAGACTTCTTGGGTAACCTAGATTTCAAGATTACAGCGGAAAGTTTCCAATATACATTTTAATTGTCTTTGAAAGTTAATATCCCCAAATTAAGATCAAAATGTACCTAATGGATTAGGATGTTACAACACAGATGTGAGGTGAAGGAAGCATTCCATAAAGCTGTTACTTACAAACCTAAACATGTACCATGAATGTGAATTGGGTAAACCTTCTTTTAGCTTTTGCCCATCACCAGATAGTGGCTGTGTGTACCATGGGTACATAAAATCTTTTACATTTTTGACTGCAGATAGTATTGATAGTAAGTGTACTCTATATAGGATGCTTCTAGTCACACCGAAATCTAAGAACGGTTTCACTGTTTTAGTAATCACATCATCACATTCTTGGCACCCATTAAATGCCAGGTCAGCTAAAACCCCCTGTCTTATGTTGAAGTCAAGAAAGACTGTGCTACTATGATATTCTGTACTAGCAACGCTACCCAAAATGGAATTAGTTTGTTTGCAATTGTATTCTTTGAGGAACTCATGCTAATTTCCAGCAACTTGCTATTTTCTAAATACTTCCGATCCGAATATTTAATTATTTGTTGTAGAATTTTTCTGGTAATCAAATCAAATGTATCCGTTTTCAGTCATGGAAATCTATCTATCCTTTACCTTTTTTTTGAAAATTGAGATGTCAGTCTCTGGCCTTCCTGTACCCAAATAATCTTCCATCAGTAATTAATCACAACAGCCCTAAGTTACTTTAGAATCACGGACTTTTATTGTTTTAGTCTTGGAGATTTTGTTTGATGAGTCCGCAGGCCATTTGTTTATTTTTTCATTTTCTTGGATTTCACATCTTTTAATCTTGTTAGTTAATATCTTCCCAACTCAAAGGCCACTGTTGATGATGAGTAAGGAACAAATAAAATGGAAGTTGGTTTTCATCATCTTCTCTCTGTTAGGTTGTTAGACAAGATAAAATATTAATTAATGCACTTTCAAAATGGTAAACTGCTATCTAACTATCAGCAATGATTTTAATTACTGCTGTTAAATTACACTGTATTATTATAGATGCGACATCCGCCCTAAGAAGTAGACCCTCAATTTTCTTTAAACTTCATAACTTTGAGCACAGATGAAAAGCTACTTTGATATTCCTTAAGTGACTTTAACAAGCCTGAAAAATGGATGTGATTATTGCATATTGGTCTGTGTTTCATTGTCTCTATTACCTTTGAAATACCAGACCTAAACCTAAATCTCCTTGTGAAACATACAACTGAATCCTCCTTCCCGCCCCCCACCCCTATACAAACAGTACCCTTGTTCTTTCTTTGGGTTTGCTGCTACTGAGGATTATTTCTTAAGATTTTTTTTTAATTTATCACAATCTGTATTCTGAGCCTGGGATCACAAATACATATTCTTTCCTTTTCTTTGCCTGTCTGAACTCAGTTACAATCTTTAGGAGAGCAGAGAACCATACACATTTATAGCTAGAAGACTCTTCTAGTCTTCAGTGATGATTTTACTGACTCCTTCATTTTAGAGTGGTGAAGTTGAAACCCAGAAATATTCACATTTAGTTAAGTTTACACAGCCAGTCGGTGCACCTTGAATTAAGGTTTTCTAATCCCTAAATCAATAATTTTGTATATAGCTATGAGATTAATAGATATGGAGATTATAAGTATGTTCGGAATTTTGCTTCACTTTTATTTGCAACCTTGGGTACACATCCTGGCATTCTCTAGCATTTTTATAGAACCCAGACCTGCCACGCCCATTTCTAGGCTCCCTCCAACTCACATATGCATACAAAACATGTCAAGTAAAAGCAGCTGAGACACCAACATACGCATGTTGTCCATCTCTTAAAATGTACAGCTGCCTAAGTAATGAGCACTTCATTTCTAATGATTTGTTACAATAAGTGAAACAATCATTATCTATCCATCTATCTATCTATCTATCTACCTAGTCTATCCATCCATCCATTCATCCATCCATCCATCCATCCATTTTGCTTTCCACTGGAGTCCTACCATTATAATTATAATATAATAATAATATCACATCAAGCTCTATTCTGAAGACCTAGTAATATCTTACTCCCTAACAACTTTTATTCCTACTGAAACTGGAAACAGATTACATACTTTTCAAGGAGGAAATTAGAGTTTTTAATTTCCATAGAAAAAAACAAGTATCAATTTATCATTATTTTCCATAATAGCAATAATTATGTCATCATTCTTTAAAAATTGCCTAGCACTAGCCTTGTGAAAAATTGATGTGTTTCTGTTGTCCCCGTATTGATGTGTAGAGTCAGTAGAACTTTAATCAGATTTAGAGCACGGTCTTCTTTAGACCCCGAACACTGATTGTAAAGTGTTTGTGAAGGAGAAAAAGGTGAAAGAATAAAGGTGTTTCTGAAGAAGTAAGGAAGACTCGTTCTACCAGATATGAGGCAATATCATAATGCTAGAGGAATGAAAGCAATGTGGAATTCCATTATTTCTGGTCACGTTCTTTCTGACCAGTTGGAACAGTAGTCCCAGAAATAGATTCATGAACATTTGGAACTTGAACGTGGCAGAGGTGGCGATGCAGATCAATGGGGAAAGGATGGACTATCTAATTGATATACCTGACATCCAATTGCTACAGGTTTCTTTTTAAGCCAGAGGAATCAAGGACAATACATAAAAGCAAAGAAGGACCCCTTCAGTTACATTAAAACAACACTAAAATCTTTGGCTCCTCACAGGTCACAATGTTAAGAGGTGAAAAGAGCAAGCCAATAATTGGGAGGAAAAAATAACATATATAATAGACAAAGGATTAGAATCCAAATATAATTCCTAGAGGTCGAATGAAACAAAGAACCCAAACAAAAAATTGGCAAAAGACAGGAAAAGGAATTTCACGGGGCAAAAAAACCTATGGAACAGAAACACATATAAACATGCCAAACCTTGTAAGTAAATTTAGGGTAATTAAAGCTCCCATTTCACAGCCACCAGAACTGTGCCATATTAAGAATCTTGACCAATACTGGCAAGAATGTGAAGGAATGGGAACCCTCACAAGTACAAAGCGATAAAATCATTTAATAAAAGAGAAGATGCATATACTCTTCGACATCACAGTTCCACAACTACATATGAGGAGACGTGCACAGGGCTACTTACAGCTCTATCATTTTTCATAACAAAGCTGAACAACCTAAATGTCCATCAACAGGATAAAGGATAACATGTGGTATCCACAGTGGGGCAATAGAGCAGTGTAAAAAAAAGTTCAAAACCATGGAGGGGCACCTGGGCAACTCAATCGATTAAGCGTCCAACTTCGGCTCAGGTCCTATATCACGGTTCGTGGGTTCGAGCCCCCAGTTGGGCACAGAGCCCGGAACCTGCTTCGGATTCTGTGTCTCCCTCTCCCTCTGCCTCTCCCTTGCTCGTCTCTCTCTCTCTCTCTCTCAAAAGTAAACATTGAAAAATTTTAAAATAGTGTTCAAAACTATGCATATTTAACTAAACCATATGAATTTGTCAATATTTTTTCAATTTTGACTTACAAAATTGTAATTTCACTTGGTTCAAACTGACAATGGAGAAATCTCATTACTCAGTACTCAATACTGAATGAAAAAAAGGCAAGTCGTGCAAGTTTAGAATGCATTAAGAAAACTTTTCCATAAATTCAGGAACACGAGAAGCTACATACAGTATTGTTTGGGTTTACACATTTATAGAGTTACAAAGAATAAAGAACAAGGAAATGATACACACACAAGTCAGGATAGCAGTTACCACCAGAAGTTTAAGGGTGATATCAAAGAAAGGTGCTTGGAGGCTTTCAAAGGCTGGTAACCTTTTACTTTTTAAGCTGAGCAGTGGGTAGTTGGCGTTTACTTCATTACTCTTCATATTCCTTCATTTGTATGTAGGAAATATTTTATATAAGTAAAACATTTAAAGTGCATCTTTTTAACTATTAAATCGCTTTCTCTTATAGGTCTGGAAAGATGCGGCCACTCAAATATTTTACTCCCTTTCGGTGGCTTGGGGCGGCTTAGTTGCTCTATCATCTTACAATAAGTTCAATAACAACTGCTTCTCAGATGCTATTGTGGTTTGTTTGACAAACTGCCTCACTAGCGTGTTCGCTGGATTTGCTATTTTTTCCATATTGGGACACATGGCTCATATATCTGGAAAGGAGGTCTCTCAAGTTGTAAAATCGGGTATGTAACGCTATATATTAATGACTTTGATTAATTCAGTGCAGCTCATTTAAGAAACAGTAATATCCTTTATAGCAATATACTGAAAGCACTCAGGCAGGATTTAAGGTGTTGCATTCTCTTTCTCATTTCATCTTAGGTAATTTGTTTTAATGATGTGATAATTCTTAGTTGATCTCAGAAAACAGGACTATATTGGGGAACAATTGTTTAAGAAGATGCTTTTACTGACTTTTGTTTAATCCTTAATATGATCTGCTTACTGTACAATTACAAGCATCAGGCATCATGCATGCCTTCACATGTGTTATCTTCACTTATGTGTGTGTGTATATACATGTGTGTATTCATATACATATGACTGTATGAGAGTATATTCTATGTGCAAGTACAGTATTGTGTCTGAATTTTTAAAACACATCAATATCATATAGATAGAATCCCAGGTGACGTTGAGTGTCCAGCTTTAAAGGAGTCTGATTAACAAACTTCCTACCATTAAAGACATTAGCTAGGGATGCTTAATTATCTGGCTAAGATTCTTAGGAAAAGAATTCTAGAGTCTGTAGTGGTAGGAATTCCTCATTAAATTTTTATTTATGGCTAGTATTTGATGGAGCGACCCATGGAGGAGAACAGAATGTTAGGACTAGAAGGGACCTTATGGATAATCTAATGTCCAGCTCCTCATTTCCAGAGGAGTGGATCGATACACGGAAATTTCACGTCTTGCAGAAGATTAAATTGTTAGGAAGTGACAGAGCACAGGCTCGCAGCTAATTCTCCTGAATCCAAGGCCAGTCCTCTGGGAGTCTGGAGAAACTTAAAATACTTAAAACTAAATACCACAGAATTGGAAAAAAATTTAAAAGCACCTCTAAAAATAATACACATCAAATATGAAATAAGAGTCAATTCCTAGTTTTGTTACACACAATCTTTCAAGTGTCCATATACTAATTAAGATGACACTACAAATAGTAGTTCTGACTAAACATTTGGTGAGATGGCTGAAGACTAAAAACATATCTTTTTTGATAGCATAATTCTTTTAGAATTTCTAGGCCCAGATGACTTCCTTTAGATTCCCGGAGTTTAAGACAGTTGCTATTCTTCATGAATCATTAAAAAAAAAGAAATATGTTAAACACAATCATTGAAATAGTTGAGTTTTTTATGTGAGAAATGTACTACTTACGAAATGGTTCTCACTAGCTTAACTCTTGTCACATACATGCTCATATTATCACATCGATGAACAACCAAATCAAATACTTTTAAAAGTGGAAATGAAATAGTTGTTCAAGAATGTATATCATGGGTTGGGTTGCCAAATTAACATGAAAGTTTCCTAGCATCTTATTTTGAAAATGTCCAGATATGTGAACTTTCTGTCAACTAATTTAAATTCAACCTCATACCCTTTTTTCTTAGGTTTTGATCTGGCATTCATTGCTTATCCAGAAGCTCTAGCCCAGCTCCCAGGTGGGCCATTTTGGTCCATATTATTTTTCTTCATGCTTCTGACTTTGGGTCTTGACTCTCAGTTTGCATCCATTGGTAAGTAATATTTCACGTGTTACCATATCCCTCTTAATGTTTTATTAATTTCAAGTTTCCCCTGCTTAAAAATATCCTTTTCTTAACCCTGCTGCCCCATTCGCTTTGACTCTTAGAGTCTGAAAGTTCTTTGTAACTTA